TATCTTGGACAATCCTAGAGATGAGCAGCCGACTCTCTAAATAGGAAAGAAGGGCAAAAGCAGCCTATTTAAAAATCCATTATTTACGAAACACAACGTTTTTATAAACCCGAACTTTTTTTCCCCCTAAAATATATTTCGAACTAATCCAAATATGAAGCCACCATCTTCCTGCGAAGAAAGTTCCCGAGGACTGTGTGTTAGGTGTTCACTGTCTCTAAGCCACCAAAATGCTTGTGTGCATTTTGTGTAAGTAACTCTAATATTATTACATTATATGTTGGAAGCACCGCAATTAAGGAAAAGTAAAAATCTCGTCTTTGCAAAACTCATACCCTTGTCTTAGCTCCACTCGTAGCTAAGTATTCTATTCCTTTAGAATCTGCTTTTCAGAAAAGTTCAGCCACTATTCTAGACATAACTAGAATTTTAGGAGACCTTTAGAGAAACAAAAAGAGGGGAAAAAAATAAAAAAGAAAATAAAAGAAAGAAAGAAAAAAGAATAAAGTAGTTTATGCCAAGTGTGGAAAAATAAAAATAAAAATAAAAGAGGAAAAAAGAAAAGAACAGATGCCACACTGTTTGATCCTTGAAGGTTTTTTTTTTTTTAATTATTTTTTTTATTGTTCTTGCTACCTCACATGTACTGCGAGATAAACAGCACCTTACATATTTATGTTTTACACTTGACATTCGTGCTTTTCAGGGTCAGCCAGAGTTTGTGGTTTCTTTTTCATCTATTTAATGAAAAAAAAAAAAAAAAAGAAAGAAATTAGGCCTGCTAAACATGCAAGAAACTAGGTAATTCAAGGTCAAGAGGAAAACTATAAATTGTTTCTTTTTAAAAAAAAAAAATATTATCACTACACTGGATCGTCAGAAAGCGCTGTGAATGATTAAACCGAAGCTTGAAGCAGGCACAGTGTGAATTTCTTTTCCCCACACCTCGAGTCTAATAGTATGATAGGTTTATTTTTGTTGTTTGCCTATAAAAAATATTCTTTTTTTTCCTTTTTTTTTTTTTTTTTTTTTTGGTAGGTGTTTTCATAAAGTTATTTCTATTTTCCTTCTCTCCTCCCTTTGCCTTTCTACATAGCTCCAGGCTGTGTTCTCGGTTAGAGGAGGGTGTGTGTTCCTCTGCGAGGATATTACAAAACAACCCTTAAATGCTCACAAAACTTAACAATCGCTTTATTTTTCATTATGTCTGCGATTGTACACAATGATGGAGGCCCAAGCTGCACTGCGCAGATCCTCAGCAGTCCAGTTTTGCATTCCGAAATCAGGAAAAAGCCCTCCTCTCGCAGCACCCGAGCTCCGGGTGTCTCCGGAGGTCCTGTGAGCATGAGTTTTAATTACCCTTTCCACCCTTTATTGTGGGTATTTATGTAACAGCGAGGACAGGCAGAACAGGCCGGTGTATCTCCCTGTCGGCCGCAGCAGTGAAAAGTAAAACATGCTCGGGAAGCAGTGGCCGTTTTCTCTCTTCAGGGCCATAGTTTATGTTCCTCGTTCGCCAGGAACAGCCTGCGAGGGGCGGTGGGGTTATTTTGGTTTGAGAGCAGAGCAGAGAAGCAGAAAAGAAAATATCTCTGGGAGTGGGGGAGAGAGAAGAGGCAGAAATAGGTCGTGCCGAGCTGTCAGTAACCTGCCGCGCTAAAAAAAAAAAAAAAGGGAGGGGGGGGGACAAAAAATGAAAAAAAGAAAGAAAAGAGAAAAAAAAAAAAAAAACACGAGCATGCTGCCGAGACCGTGCAAACAGTGCTCCCGGTGCAGCCCGATCGCTCTCGGCGGCTGCCACCGTCCCCTCCGCAACCCCCCTCCCCTTTTTTTGGCCGCCCCCCCGGCGCCCCCCGATCCCTACCCGTGCCGGGGGCTCCCGCGGCGCCTCCTGCGCAGGACCAGCCTGAGGGCGAGGCGCGGTGGCCCGCATCCGCGCAGCGCGGCGGCGACCCCGCGGAAGATGCGCCAGCCCAGCGCCAGCGCCAGGGCCAGGCGGCGGCGGCGGGGGCGCCGGCAGCGCACGGTGCACCTTATCCGGGGGGGCATGGGCGCCTGGCGGCCCCCGGCGGCGGGGCCGCGGCAGAAATACCGCCCCGATGGGGCCCCGACGGTGAGTCGGCCCCCTCACCCTCCATTCATTGGAGAGGATTTTTTTTCTTTTTTTTTTTTCTTTTTTTTTCCTTTTTTTTCTTATTTTTTTTTGTCTTCTGTTTTTTCTTCTTTTTCTTTTCTTCTTTCTTTTCTTCTTTCTTTTCTTCTTTCCTTTCTTCTTTTCTCCTTTATTTTCTCCTTTCTTTTTATTTTTTTTTTCTTCCTTTTGTATCCCTTTATTTTTTCTTTCTTTTTATTTTTCTCTTTTCCGTTTGGCTAATTCTGACTCCTCATTTCGCCTTACCTCCCTCCCTCCCCTTCCCCCCACCGCCGTTAAACGCCTCCCATCATGATGATGGCTCCTGCCTCGGGAGGCGGGCGGGCGGCAGGGGATGGGGCCGGGGGGGGGCTGCGGGGCCGCTCTCTCCTCTCACCGGCTCCCCCCGCTGAGCACGGCCGCCGACCGGTCCGCGGGAGGCGTCCAATCGCAGCCCTCTGAGGGCTTTCAAATAAAGCCTTGACGACATGTCCTTGCCTCCCTCCCGCCCCCCCGCAACCACACCGCCTCCCGTTCCGTCTGGGGAGAGAGGGGGGGGGGGGTTGATTTCACTTTTTTTTTCCCTTCTTTTTTAATTTTTTTCGGGGGTAAACCCGCGGGTGCCGCGCGGAGGGAGGCGTGATGCCGCCCCGCGACCCCCTGCCCGCCCCCGCGGGGCCGCGGCCGGGTCCCGGAGACGGTGGCTAGCGGATCGTGCAGCATTGGCCCGGGCGAGCAGCTCTTTCCTCGTCACGTGGCTCCATTTGAATACGCCGCGGGGCCGTTGAATAGCGGAGCGAAAATAATTGAAAAAAAAAAATAAATAAAAAAGCGGATCTCGTCTCCTCTCCCCCCCGGGCCGGTAATAGACACGGGTAATTAACTGCTTCCTCTCCGCCGCCCCCTTCCCCGGCCGTGCTCGCTGATACCGGCCCGCTTTTGCTTTCGGGTTGGGGGTTGTGATTTTGGGAAGGTCGGGGGGAGGACGGGGGACGGTCCGGGGGGGGTGCAGCGCAGGGTCGCAACCTGCCGGCGCATCCCCTCGGGTGGGATGCAGGCGCTGTCGCCGGGCTGAGCTTGGGGTCCCCCATCGGCCCCGTCCCGTCCTAGAGGGGACAACCCTCCCCTCCCCCCCCAAAAAAACACCTCCCAGCCCACCCCCCTGTCGCTGTGTCGGGGTTACCTCGGTGCGCAGCGAGGAGAGGGGCGGTGGGTTGGGAGGCTGCCGGTGCTGCGGGAGCACCTTCGCTTTCTTCAGCTCGGTTTTTGGCCCGGCTGGACACGGCTCGGCTCGGCGCGGCTCGGGGGGGGTGGGGGTGTGCAAGGGCTGCAGGGAGCCGCTGGGGATGGCCCCGGGCAGCGGAGGGGAGACAGCTCTGAATATATGCGGGTGGGACCCCCCTCGGAACCCCCCGCCCTCCCCACCCCCACCAAACACCTCCTTCCCCTGGCTGGACAAACAGAAATAACACCGAAAATAATGGAAGTTTCCTTCTTCTGCCCGGGCACGGAGTAACCGTAACAATGCTCATGGAGAAGAGCCCGTAGAGCTTTTGCCTGGAGCGAATCCACTTTCGAGCCTGGGAAACGGGTGACTGAAATCAGCCATTTCGAAATGAAAACGGCTCTTCGATAGATAGCGGGTTGTTGCTGTGCTTTTTTTTTTTTTTTTTTTTCTCTGATTTTTTTTTTTTTGTCGTCCCTTGGCGCACAAGGCAAAACCGAGAGAAACGAATGCAACGCAACGCCCGCCGGGTTGCAGGGTGCAGGTGCCGGAGCGGCGGTGGGAGGACGAGTGCGCGCTTTGCTCAATAGAAACCCAAATACCCACCAACGCTGAGCGCTTGGCCGAGCATCCATCCCACCTTGCCCGGCTCCACCGGCGGTGCCAAAACCGAGACGTGCGAGGCACTGAGCGCGGAGCTCTCGGAAATTTGTGTTTCTGCTGCTCACAACCGCTGTCGTTTCCAGGGGGCTCCCAGCCCCGCAGCCGGTGCCGGTGAGGGAAGACGACGCGCACGGTGAAGCTCCCGCAGCCGAGCCAGCCCTGGGCCGGGGAACCCCCATCCACCCCCGGTGAGTGTCCCCCGCAGTGAGCAAGGGTATCGATACCCAGGCGGTGAGGTAGATTTATGGCCATTAGGCACTTGGCTCTGCGGGGTTTTGAAGGAACCTTTTGGCGGTGAAGGAGGGCAACCGAGGGGAGTTGGTGGTTTTTATTTTTTTTATTTATTTATTTTTCTCCCCACCGGTTTTATGCGATGCTGTTGGGTTTATAACTGATGTTGTTGTTGTCGTTTTTGTTTCACAGTCCGTAATGGAAATGGTTTAAATCAAATTCTGGTGCTCAGCGAAAACGACCTGTTAACTAGGAATCCTGGTCTAGCTGAGGCTAGAGGAGTAGCTCATTAAATCCTTACTTTTCGTACGAAGGGAGGTCGCCACGCTCTAGCCTTGCCCTAAATCCATGCCCGAACTGTATCCCGGCCCCCCTCTGGCTATTGACGCCCACCAGCCCAGCCCCCGCCGGCCCCCGCCCGCCACCGTCCTCCGCCGCTCGCGGCTGCGACGTGAGCCCAGAGATAGAGCGGCATCATCCTCCGCCGCGATTTTAAAAGCTATTCTCTACATAAACATACGTATGTAATAAAGACCCTCGGCAAAGCTTAACTAAACCAGTGTTGATAAAATGTAGAGTGAGCTTTTCGTACATTTTTACGTGCGTAAAAATGCGTTTTTCCCCGCGCACCCCGTCGCACCTTCAGGCTAAATCCGTGTTGCATTTTTACGTAAAAATGTGGTCATTATTTAGAGCGAACGTGTTGCGTATAAAAAAAAAATAAAATCAACGATAAGCAGAAACATAGGCTTGATAGATAGATAATCAAAATGCTTTTATATACACATATGTGTGTGCTTATCTTTTTCTGAAATGGACACGTTAAATAGATAAACGGCATAATTACGCATTTATAAAATGTCAACTTACAAGAAAAAAAATTATTAAGCAGGCATTGCATGAAATTATATTGTCGCGAATGGCATATTTTAATAAATTACATTAAGTTATATATAAGTATATATATTATTCTTACTGTTTATGCATAAAAGAGGTGGAAACCGTGAACGCACATCAAAAGGAAACCTCTTTTTCCTTCGTATTCTTCACGGGTAGTGCTCAGGGTTTACACCGGGGTGTGAGGCCGGAGTTGCCTGGCCGTTCCGTCCCGCTGCCCTCTCTATGACCAGCTCCGGGGCTGTCGCGCGTGGGAGGTTCACGCGAGTCTTTCCCACCCTGGTGCAGCCACAGAGATAGGCATTAGTCCTCGGGCGATTAATCTAGCTCCCCCTCCTCCGTCCTGCTCCTCCTGCAGGAGCAGAGTCGTTGTAATGTCTTTCGGCTCTGTTGTCTCTTCAACAAGTGTTCCACTTTTAGGCAGGTTGGGGAAACGCTGGGGCCGAGCATGGACATATGTTTTTTTTTAAGTTGTATCTACGTGACGCCCTCGTTTTGCAACCGCCATCATTTCTTGCAAAATATCGTTAAGCTTGCAGTAGCTCAGGGAAGGTCACCTGCACGTATCACTTCAAGCAAGGGCGGCATCGGGCTTGCAGAGACACAAATCGCTCTTTATTTTCTCCTTCCAGGTCCCATGTTTACTAACCTCATGAGAGGAGCCACGGATGCGCCACGGGTCCATGCACAGACATGCACAGCACCTTACGTGGTTTTCAGAAGGTATGTGCCAAAGCCTTAGTTTCCCACTGCTCTGCTAGGGAGAGACCGGCCTCAGCGCTCCCGCTGTCCTATTTTCCTTAAAGGAAACGGGGGAAGGTGCCTCGCAGTTTTGGGCAGAAGGGTCAGCAGCGCGAGCGCCCAGCCACGACACGAAAGCTTGATTGTGCCGTCCGTGCGGTTTTCTCCTTCATATTCATCTTCACAGTGTGCAAAAGGGAGAGAGAGGAGGGCAAAGCATGAAGGTGCGCAAAGCACGGGCGGGCAAAATCCCGCCGTCCTTCGCCACCCCGGGCCATGAATTAGGAGACGGGTCCGTCCGCAGGCTGTCGCAGGAAGCGCCCCACGGGCCCGTGGGGTCCCCCCGCCGCCACGTCGAGGGGGAGGCGGCCGCGGCCGTCGGGGAGGTCGAGGCGCGCCCCGGCGCGGTGCAGCGCCGCCAGCGTGTCCAGGAAGCCGGCGCGGGCCGCGTCGTGTGCGGGGAGGCAGCCGGTGCGCGGGTCGGGCCGGTTGGGGTCGGCGCCGCGCTGCAGCAGCAGCTCGGCCACCCGCGGGCTGCCCAGCATCATCACCTGCGGGGAGGGAGCGAGGGAGACACGGCGTCAGCGGGCCCATACGGGGGGCTCCGCGGACCCCTGGGCTGCGTTTTTCCCCGCGCGCCCCGTCGCGCCTTCAGGCTAAATCCGTGTTGCACAGAGGTGCGGAAAAAAAAGGACGCCAGAGGACGGCGTCGGACAGGTATTTCTGGTGAAATGCTGCACCGACATTTTGTAGGGGAGAGTTCTGCAAGCCCTGGCAGCATGTCCTGCGTATAGCTCCTCGCATTATTCCTGATTCGTTTTATTTTTAAAATTTGTGAAGAAGCTGTCTAGAACCACATCGAAAATTAGCTCGGGTTTATAAATCTAATTCCTGTTGTTCCTCCAGGAACAGACAGTTCCTCTGTCTGTACGTTCACGGGACTGTAAAATGGGTGCAGCCAGTCCCCCAGAGAGTGCTAGCTGTGTACCTGCAGTGTCTGCTGGGCAAGGCTCTCACACCCGGATGTTTCTGCTCGTCACTTAATACACCGTGAGAACAATTATATATATATATATATATATATAATATGTGTATAAACATAATACATATTATAAATACATTATACAGATCATATTAAACAACGTATAAATTATATATATGTATTTAAACAGTATATATATGTGTGTATATATACGTATATGTATATGTGTATATATATATATATATATATATATATATATATATATATATATATATATATATTATTCCGTGGGAAAGAGGAAAAAATAATAGGCGTATAGAGCAGAACGTGACAATGTGGCGGAGGGGTAAATCCTTCTGAAAAGTCGCCTCGTTACTTTTTATTACACGTTTATTGCGAGATGAGCATTAAAGCTCTCGGTTCTGAGTCATCCTATCTCAGTTGGTTAAAACAAAGTCCGGGGTTGCTGAAACTAAAACCTCTCTGTTGCGGCCGTTGTAGGCTTTCGCAGTTCCACAAAGGCGACGGGAACCGCGGTGCTGCACCGGCTGCACAGCCGCCGAGCGCGGCCGTCGGGGGGTGGCCGCCGCCGGGACCCCTGCCCCGGGGGCAGTCCCCTTGCCCGCCGCTTCCTACCTGGATGGGGGTCCGGCCGAAGGAGTTGACGGCGTTGGGGTCCGCCGCGCCGTCCAGCAGCTCCCTCACCCTCTGCACGTCCCCGCGGGCCGCGGCGTTGGCCAGCTCGTCCGCCGCCGCGCTGCCCGCCCGCTGCGCCATGCCCCGGCGCCGCTCGGCCTCACATCGACCGCCGCGGCCGCCGCACGGCCGCGATGCCGGCCCGCGGGGGGCGCCCTGCCCATGGGCGCGCCCGGCTCCAAGCCCGCACCCCCGGGGCGACGGCGCCCGGCAGCCCCCGGCCGTCCCAGGCCCCCTCCGCCGCCGCCGTCGAGCCGCCTGCGCGCTGCCGTCGGCGGGGCCGCCTCCACCTGCGGGGCCGCGGGCAGCGCCGGGGCGACCCGCCGCTTGTTTTCTCCCCGTAGCCGGGGCCGCTCCCCCCCGGACCGCCCCGGACCGGCCCCGTCGGGCTCCGCCTTGCCCGGCTGCTGATGTCAGCGGCCCCGCGGCGGCCCCGTCGGGGCGAGGCGGCCAGCGGGCGGCGCGGTGCTGCGCGGTGCTGTGTGGTGCTGTGCGGTGCTGTGCGGCTAAGCTGCTGTCCGAGCGGCTCCCCGCAGCCGGGCCGGGAGGGCAGAGAGCTCGGAGCGTCCCATCTCCTCACTTCTTTCACCTTTTTTTTTTTTTTTTTTTCCCTGTTTCTCCCTTTAGGGCAACAGCGTTTTCGCTTGTGCCTGAGCAAAGCGTGAGGAAAAGGACTCTCTCTGGGATAAGTGTTGGTTTGACGCAGGACGACGGGGAGCGCGGGGTGATGTCGACAGGGGAGCCGCTCCCGCATCGCGTTCCTGCGTCTCCTTCTCCCACGCCTTGCCTGCCCTACCTCTCTGGGCGCTCACGGGCAGCGAAGGCTTGCTCCACCCTCCTAAGGTAAACGGCAAACCCTGCCGAGCTTTCCTTAGCTCGCACAGCCACGGGCGACAGACGACATGCAGCGACACACAGAGCCCGCCGTCAGGACCGAGAGGCGGCTGCGACGCCTCTATTTTCCCCCTGAACTCTCCGCTTTATATATATATATGTATATATGTATATATATATATATATATATATATTTAAAAACTAAATAACAAACCAAGCCGGAACTTCGAACCCTCCCTCCGCACAAACTCCGCGCAGCGCGGACGAGCCCTCCCCCGGAGCGGCCGAGCCCCCCGACGGGCTTCCCCTGGAGCGGGGTCGCGGCGGGGTGGGGGGCTTGGGGCGGCGGCAGCACCAAGGACAGCTCCCCCCAGGCCGCTGCCCAGCTCCGGCCGGGGCGGGGAAGGGAAAGGAAGGGAGAGGCGGGCACGGGGCGGGCCGGGGGACGAGGGTCCGTCTGCCCCGTCCGTGCTATGTGGGGCTCCGCACGCCGCCCTGCACCCGCAGCCAGACCCACTGCTTGAGGGGAGATGAGGCTCGAGGGGTCTTCTCGCCGTGCGAGAGGACGCGGGGAAAACAGAGAGGAATGAGCCCTTGCTGCGGTAGCTGCTGTCGTGACAAGGAGCTCTCTCCTCACCTGAGTGCACAGCGACAGGCAGGCGAAGCCTCCAGGGTCATTCTCGTGGGAGGTTTGTCATAACTCCGCTCAACCTGCGTTTCTCAATCCTCCTGCATTCATGCTGACCGTATCTCTACGTGAAACAGCTGTTACCAAAACGATGACATTTCTTCCTTGGCCCAATACCTTGGGCACAAGAGCACAGTTATACTATCAAGAAAGCCCTCTGTTTTCAGTACCAGACGGTGCCGGTGATTTCCACCGATAACAAACAGAAGGTGGCTAACTGGTGTGGCCAATGAAAACTGTGTAAAGTGTTCAGTTTGTTTGTGGTTTTATTTGCGATGAGTGGCATGTTCCTCTAATTGAATCAGTGCCAAATCCTGTTTCTACGCATTCTCACCGACTGCTATGTCTACATTCAGATGTGTAGGAACGAGTGAAGTTCCATTCAGGACACAGAGTTTCTTGATATTAAGATATGCTCTGGTTACATTAATTAATTTTGTTTTGTTTTGTTTTGTTTTGCTTTTTCTTTATCTCTTTTCTTCGTAGTGGATTTGCATTCAAGTGTTAGGTGCCATAAAAATAAAATAAAAAAGAAAGACATTTCAGACTTCTATAATCAAGAAAAGAAAAAAGGAAAAAAAAAAAAAGAGAGAGAGAAGAGTTAAATCGACATACCCTGACATCTAAACCACTGTACAGTGCAGTTCCCAAGTAGTATAGCTAAGCCTTAAAAAGACTTCAAACTATTTTTGACAGCAGCGGGATGAACAATGGTATTACAGAATCAGCTTGGTAGAGACAGAATGCTGATCCCAGCTGTCAGTTAGAAGGCAGATAAGCACTAGTGGCAGAAAAAGGGTTTTGACAGTGCTTTGCTGCCAGTAATAAGATTCATCCATAAGGAAATAAAAACCAGTTCATTCCTAAAGGATCTGTGTACATATTTTGTGCAGGGCGTGCCTTTTGTTTTTTCATAAACAAAAATCACGAAAATTATCTGTAAAGAAGGACAGACTTTGTACTTGTTTTGTTTTAAATCTCTTGTTACTGCAAGGCTATGTGGTAGATAAGATGCTCAAAACCAAAAACCTTTCTTCACATTGCTCTCCAAAGAGGCTGGGATTTCTTACAAACCTCAAGAAACAACGTTGTCAAATATTCATGAATAAAAAATAAGGCATATTTAGTGGTTTTTCCAGAAGTTCAGGGAAAAAAAAAAATCCACCACCCCACACTACCAGAGAAATGCAGTCTACGTCCAAAAAAGGTGCGTATGCAAATCCATAAATGCTTATTCTATGGACCAAGCAGTGGAAACCCGTCCATGAAGGACAGTACAACATACCACTTGAAAACAGCCTTGCTTTGGAGGTGGAATCTCAGACAGTGTTCTCCTTCTGCTTTAAATATGCTGTTGCTAGTGGAAAGACAATTTCACTGCCCAATCAGTGGCAGCTTTCAGGACTTTTACACTCTTTGAAATGCCTTCTTCCGGTTTCAGAGTTAATTGTGCAAGATTAAATTGTGCAATCATGGCCTGGCAACGATCTGTAAGGGAGGTATTATGCCATTCGCAACTCTGTTACAAATGTGTGCTGCAAGCATTTTAAATATGCATATAAACCTTGACAAAATGCCTTGGCAAGAAGACATACCCCACAAGCGCTGCAGTGATACCATTTTCTACAGTCAAAAGGAAAAAAGAAAAATGTTGAGAGATTCAGGAAGATAATTGTTACTATGCATAATACATAATCAGCTCAATATTACTCAAAAGGAGCTTACCACAAAGGAAAACATTACTTACAGAAAATTTTCATAGTTTTCACTGATTAATGGTCTTGAAAAACTGTGTTTTGTGACGTGAGCAAACAGCTCTAGCTCAGTGCCACAACAAAATGCAGTTTAGTGCAGGCTACAGAGCTTTGAATTTTGAAAAACTTGTCAATGAAGTTACTCTGCGGTAGAATCTTAAAGTACCTTGTACTGATAAAGCAGGTTTGGAAGTTAGTAAATATTACCATTTTCAATTCTGTCACTGTTTTTACAGGGGAGAATAAACATCACAGACTCCTGGAAATGACCAAAGATGTCTGCTGAGAAGAATGGAGCAAGACAGCTTAAAAAGACTCTTTGGGGATATCATCACTTGGTCTTGAAAACAAAGCAAAATCATGCAAATTAAGTGAATATGTGGGAAGTTTTAAAAATCCGCCAGCCTAGTGATAACACTACTGTAAGAGCAGCAGGTCTGCTTACCTTTAAATGAAGGCAACCATTCAGTGCTCCCCCCAGGTACTATTTGCTGACAGCAGAGAGACTTATCCTTAGCAGAGGAGAATCCATCTTTGTAAAAAAGTCTCTTTCTTCCTTGATTTCTTCTGCTTGGTCTGGCAGAAACTAGGCTAGTTTCTAGTTTCTAGTTCCTACTAGGCAGGAAAAAAATAATTACCGTATTTGTCGCCGATTAGCTTTCATCCTTCAGGGAGTTATGTTTGGAGCAGTATGTTCTGTTCTTCCTTTGCTGGGTATGTTTCTTTGGGAAAGGAGAAGATAGTCACCACTGATGACTTAGCATTCCTTGTGTATATGGAAATAAACATACAAATAGATCAGAACAGAGAAACACTGGTTCTGGGTTTCTTCCAAGCGGAAGTAAAAGTAGGAGCTCCAATTTAATTTTGTCTCTTTTAAGCAGTATTGACATGACTTTGGAATTTGACTTTTATTTATTTATTTATTTATTTATTTATAATTTTCAGTTGTTCTTTATGCATTCTTTCAAACAATGTGGACACAAGCACTGCAAAACCCTGCATAGACAAAAGTCCAGCAATTTCATGGCTATTTGCCTAACTGTGCTTGTGATGAACTCCCTGTGTGCACTGCAATTCTTACTGAAGGTATTGATTTTATAGTTTCACTGAAGGAGAGCTTTAAACTTGCTCCATGTGAGGTTACCACATTGGGTATGCCACTTGCTTTCCTGGGGACCTTTAATGAGACGTTCTCCCATAATAGCTGCATCAGTGGTAGTGTAGGTACTCAGTCTAGAAAACAAAGCAATGCCAGAGAGCTGTAAGCTACCAAAGCATATGCAGATTTCTATGTATCCAAAGGTTTAGCTGAATACAGAGCCATGAATGCAGAATCCAGAAAACAGTCAAGAAAGTCTAGCACATGCCCAGCTACTTTTTGTGGCATCTGTATAGCAGAACAGCTTGGAGTCCAAGTAATCCTGCTCATCTTCCATTGCTTACCTATATGGCACCTAGAAAATCACTCCATCTCTGTGGCTAACTTTTATGTGTAAATGTTGGGCTCATAGGCCCCTAAGACAGAAGGAGAAAGGCTGCTTAATTTGTGACATGCTTGAAATACATAAAGCCACATGCCAAATGCTGCTGTGCACCCTGTACACGAGCCTTGCCTTCTGCAGTTTCAGGGCAGTCATTTTTGGAGTGTCTGAAGAAAGGCTGTGAGACAAGTAATGTGCAAACTGGGAGCTGAACTGAGCTTAACACAGCAGACACAGCAGCCATCTTCCACAATCAGTAAGTAGGTTACCGAATTGCATTAAATTCTCACTGAACAGTTCTTTGATTAAACATTTAATACAGTCCTCAAGCATACGTATATGGAGTTACACCATTAATGACAATTCTTCTGTTTCAGCTTGAATGCATCTGTCAGATCTGATTGGAAAATCATGTTAGCTTTTTCTATTTGATTGAGCGTGCTTCAGTTTAGCTGCTGAAGGCTACCAATTTTCTCACCACAGTTTAGCTGTATATGAGGTAATGCTGGGAATCTGTAGTTTCAGTTTAGTCTTACAGTCAGTTACCATTATCAGTTGCTGTATCTATATAGATATGTATTTTTAACCCCAACGAAGAACAAAGGATAAAGTTTTCTGAGATACAGGCAACTCACACTCACAAGGATGTGAATTATTCCATGTAGGGGAGTTGGGGGTGCACTTAGGTGAATTATTCTAACATACAGAAATCTCGGAATATGAAATTTTAATTTCCCTTAGCCCATGGACACCAAGGGCTTATTGCTTTCTACATTTTTTTTTTTTGTAATTCAATCATCTTGCCATCTGATTGCAAAGAGAGCTTTGCTAGCTGAGAGTGCAGTGAATGTTTCTGGATTTTTCACTTAGTAGCTGTGCCTGCCTTACCTTTGAGAAAGTAACACAGGGAGGGGAGGTAGGGGGGTCAAGACGTATTTTAAAAGCTGACTCGCAAAGAATTTTTGTTAAATTAGTTTTGTCTTGCTTTTGTAAAGTCCACGAATTTTTGAGGAAATGAAAAGCACTAGGAGTTTTCATTCCCTTTAACCCACTCTCCTTTGTAGATCATCTTGAAAATTAATTATCGGGAGTACCATGCCTGATCTTCCTGAGCTTGCTGGTGCACTACTGGGAATACAAGGAGCCGGATGCTGTTCACCAGCTATTGTCAAGCCCAAGTCAGGAGTCACCATATAAATGCTCCAGACTATCACACTTTAAAACACATTTTTTTTCATTATGTTTACCTTACTCATTAATTATATCAATTACTAGGGTGATATTTTCAAACTGTTGCAAAAAGCTAAGACCTTTCTTCTACCTAATCACATAAGCTCAGGCACTGGGGCTATCAAAAAGCAGGAAGCAGGATAGAGTTGCTCCCTGGACTGGCTCAAAAATTCACCAGAGTGGTGGGGAAGTAGTTTGACTTTAACCACAGCATTGTTTCTCCAGAATATTCATTAAATGTTAGAAGTGTAAGTATCGTACAAGAGATGAAAAAACATAGGATGAAGTTTTAGCCTATGTCCAGTTTGCACTCCACTTTTGAATATGAACTATTTTGCTTTCCATTTCTTACCAGATTGTTTTAAAAGCATGTATTAGAGCTGCAGGCTTTGCTGCCACACTGACAATATGCAGCTCTGGAGACAGAGTGAAGGGCAGAGGGTTGAGTTTTGAGACTGAGCCTGAATCACAGCCAAAACTCTGTTGGAAGGGAAAGTACTAGCAGTAGATCTAATTGAAGGCATTCAGTATTTTTTGTACAATGAATGGTTGGATGGTGCTTAGCATTAGAATTTCTTTACTATGCTGCTTTATTTATTTATTTATTTATTTATTTATTTATTTATTTATTTATTTATTTATTAGTTTACAGTAGTGTACCGAACATGCCTTATTGTCCAGTTAGCTTGTTTGCAGCCTATTTTGCAAGCAAAATAAGCTTTAGTAAAATACTGAATGCATAATATGTGTACAATATCTGCCCATGCAAACATGCACTTTGAGAGCTTGTACTTACTGCTGAAATGTTTACGTTGCATAAATCAGACACTGTTAAGTCTTCCCTACACATTTGAGATGTGTTTGGTCTCAGTCTGTGTTCTGCTTTGTGTTTGGTGGTGTTTCTAGCTCTTTTTTTTGTGTGTGTGTGTGACTAGAAATACATTCCTACTACATTTTTTTGGGGGAGGGAGGACATGGTCAAAATGTTCTGCTCTATAAGTAAAATTATTTTCTGCTTGAATAATTTCAGGCAGAAATGTGTGTTATGATTAGGTCTGCAGATGTAGCTGATGGTGAAAGCAAACGTCTCCCACAGTAAAACAACACTGATCAGGCAATCAAATTTGGTGTTACAAGGTAAAAATATTTTAATCCTCAATGAAAATGTTTTCTATGCAAGAATCTCTAAGCTCAAAATTGACTTCTAAAAACACTTCTACTGTTCTTAGCTATCATAATTAGTCATAAACAAGGAGATACCACATGGTCAGAAAAGGCCTACTGTGATACCGGGTTGGTTTCTAAAAGCACATGACCTTGGACTTAAGATATAGTAGGTTTATTTTTAACATGAGCACACAGATGTTTTCTGTAAATAGAGTAATGAAAGGGATTTACTTTGTAGTTTATCAAATGGTTGCCGAAATGTGAGTAGGTGGAACAATAAGTGTGCTTTAATATCAAGTATTTTAGGACAAGCTTGGCCAAAACATTTTGTCTTGTCACAAAATGTTTTAAAACAACTTCAAATTGATAATACAGCACTGCTGGTGTTCTTGTGATTTGTATAAGGCATATACAGACAGAACAAGACATTTTATAGGACATGGGTAGCTTAGGTGGTTTTAAATGATAAAGAAAGCATGTTATGGTGTAGTGCAGAATGAAACTGTTTCCACCTGAGGAGATCTTTCTGTAAACTGTCCTTTTCTTTTAGACCAGATAAACTGTTAATGTTTTTGTCATTAAAACTTCACTTTGTCAGACTTATTTTTTATTGTTGTTGTTGTTGTTGTTGTTTGTTTGTTTGTTTCAAGAGTAAAGCATGTTAAATTTGTGTCATGCTGCATTTTAAACTTCCTACATATCAAGTGCTTCCTACAAAAGCTTTGATAAGACAACACAGAAGAACAATCCTGTTTAGAAATGTGGATTAAATCATCTCTGTCCTCTCACTGTGGAAGAGGCATACATGACACTGGAGGGGCTATCGGCTGGGTGCCAGCAGACTCCCTGCTGATTGCAGTCTTACAATACTCTGTTAAAAATAGTCCCCTGAGTCCCCTTTTTTCTCATGCTTTTAAATTACAATATGGCTCTTCATATGTCTGTTTACCTTTGGTTAGATGCTACAGCCACCCTATAACCCTGCTGTCCTTCATAAAATTCACTTCACTAATGCTGCTTTTCCTGGCTCTAAGGCACAGACGATGCTCTAAGAGGGGAGAAGGCCACAGGTTCATCACTTTTCGTGGGCACGCATATTTTGTGCTGCAATCCACAGTGGTTTGGGATGATTCGTGATGCTGAGCGACTGCATGAGGGCAACCTGTGCCAGGGGCAGGGATTGCTCCTGACCCCCTCACTACTCTCTTGCAGCAGCAGAGGCTCAGCCCCGAGAAGGGGGATGAAGCTCCATTGCTGATCCTGCTACTACGGCAGAGCGAGCTGCCATCTGCACTGCGAGCTATTGCGCTGCTCTGTTTCTTTTGGGGGTGGCCCGTGGTGGCTGCTATCACCACATTCGGGCATGTGTTTGCTTTGGAGTTATATATTCACGAGGGAGGTGATTGTCTAGAAAACACAGGTGTTTTGCTTTCTGTTGATGCTGCAATGGCACCGTGCCCACCTGTCAACACCAGTGCACATTAGTTAGCATTCCTGTAGGCTCAGATGCTTCTAAACACCTTGTGGTCCTTTACGAAATGCTGTGCATCTACCTAAAGGCTTGGTGTAGGAATGGACTGTGATAGGAAATACCTGCACCTGTTAAAAAAAATAAAAGCCTTTATTAGCAAAAATACAAAATCCGTCTTGCTTTATTATTATTATTATTATTATTATTATTATTATTATTATTATTATTATTATTATTATTATTATTATTATTATTATTATTATTATTATTATTATTGTCACCATCATCATCATCATCATTATTTCCCTTCATTTCAGTTACTCTTTGCTGCTGCATTCAATGCATCTCCCAGGCTTTGTGCCATCTACATCCTTAGTACATCCTTAACATGTACTAATTCAGCAAGTCTACTTGATCCCATGCCAAGTTCTTGCTGCCCCCTTTAAGGACTACCACCTTACAGCTCCAGAGCCCTTCTGTTACTTCCTCAGCAAAACTGTGCAACATCAGGTGCAGGTTTCTGCATTTGGCAGCCCAGCTCCCTGTGCAGAGGCAGACCGTTAGCACCACAGCCTGAGCCTGCCTGTCTGTTGTTCTTTTTTTCTGTCACTGGGCTGGCAGCAGCCTGGGTTGGACCCCAGATCAGTGACTGCTGGCAGAAAGCCCCTGGTGGGTGGTTGTGGTGGCTGTTTGTGTGCTGGGCTCCCCAGGGATGGGCAGCGTTGGCTGGTGGCGGCTGCCCATCTGCAGTACAAACCAGGCATGTGGTTTCCTCCACATGCTGTGCCAGATGCAGCTTCTCCAGCTGCTCAGCTAAATGGAGAGGACTTCTGACTAGCAAAGTTTGATGTGGCTTTTGAAACTGAGTTCTAAAAAATTTAAAAAATATATCTAAAAACTTAATGGTCAGCTCTTAGGAAGTGGAGAATCTTGTAACACTTAGGGAATCACTCCTCGTCATCTTAGTTTTATCCTCTTGTATCTCCTGATTGTTTACCTATCTGAAGGGCACACAATGTGCCTGTGGCCACCACACGTTTACTTGATATTTATTATATCAGTGGTGCTGCACAGAGGTGACAGTGAAGAACAGCACCACCACTTTAGATGCCACATGAATAAAGCCTTTCAAATAAGCTCTTTGCTTTTGTTTTTCCCTCTTGCCATCCGGCCATTGGTAATGCCTGCAAGCAACAAGATACCATTTTGCTATAAACAGAAGATGAATGTAGAGCACACCTGTGGCAGGAGCAGCTCCTCACCGTGCAAAAGCCGTGCAAGGCAGGTGAAGCACACATGGGATGCTTGGTGCACTCCAGCTGCAGCAGACACGAGTCGTGATGTCAGGACTGATGTGACACCTCTCCATGCTTCGGGAGATGGCAGGCAGCTCAGGGGCAAAATCAGGCATTGATCTGCGGTCCAAAATGTCTCTGTATTAGTGTCTGCCTGTTGAAGTGTGGCGGCGTCCCACCTCCCACCTGTTTTTTTGCTGTTTGCTTTTCTGTTCTTGATCGCAGGGGTCTGTCGGAAAGTTGCCAAATGGTGCGAATTTTAGGAGCGGTGCTTGTGCCACCTAGAGGATGCGCCTCGCGGGGCCCGGCACGAAATGTCGGCCCGGAGCTGGGGACCTGCTTAAAAAACCGGCATGCCGGCTGGGACTGAATTTCCTCAGCGGTCTCCAGAAAATGGCCTGCTGCCCCTTTGTGCTCGCTAAGCTGAAAAGGGACTTTTAAGCTGAAAAGCAAAAACCCACTCTTTTCCAGGAAAAGGGATAATGCTGTGGTTTACATGTTTTAGTAGTTCTGACATTTATTTAGTGGGTTCTACTTCCTAAGATGCAGAAAGAAACAGCTCTGACCTGGCAAAGAAAGAATTCATCCTTCCTCCTTGCCAGGAGTTTCACTTTTAATTTGTGTCTTCTTGTAGCTCAAAGCTTGCGTGATCTGACACTCCTGGCATGGACCAGCTTTAAGGTGAGCTGGCAGAAAGTTCGGGAGACCTTCCGTTCTTTTGTTCTGGGTAAGGCCATGCAGGGTGGAGTGGCTGGGAATGAGAGCGGCTACAGTCATGAATGGGAAACCAGAGACAGGAGAAAAGAGCAGAAAACAAAAAGGGATATGTATTGGTGGTGGGGGGGGAAGGGGCGGGGAGGGGCGGGCGGGGGAATGGAAGTTACAAATACAGAACTGAAAATATCAGGGAAAGAAAAAAGAAAAGAAAAAAAAAAAAAAGGCAGCAAAAGTAAGGGATTTCAGAAGAGCAAATGAAGTTGTCTTTCAAACCTGCAGCCCCGTCAGTCCTTAACAGACCAACTTCCCACAGAAAAGGGCAGCTGTGAACCATTGTTGACCATGTCCTTTGATGCAGTATGTCTTATTTTACTGGGACACAAATCAATGCCTGGACCAAGGTCACAGACATACAGATGCTTTCCTATTCTAAAAATCTGGGTTTTCATAATAGGACCTTGCTGATGAAGAACTGAACCTCTGAACAGCCCAGGACTGATCTCAATGAGCACATTTACCTTGTCCTCTCACATTTCCGTTCACAATGCTCATTTCTGCCACACCTGGACCTTTGTGAAGCTGGAAATGTTGGGATGCCTGCTGGGTAATGGCTGTGAAAGTGTTGGCAGCCCAGGAGCAAGATACAGTCTCATGGCCTCATTCCCCATTCCCTGCCTCTTGCAATGCATCAGAAAGGCCCCAGATCTGGATCCTTTCCTTCCCATTTGCTGTATTGCTGAGACTGAGAGCCTGTTTAAACTGTATTTTGTGTAACTACAGAGCCTCAAGTGCGGCTAGCAACTCAAACTATAAATACTTGTTCACATAGGGACTACATTGACAAGGAGATAGTTCTGCATGCCCAGAGATCATGTGCACCAAGTTTCTTGTATGCAAGAAACCCTCAGCAGTTTTCAGGAAGGAATCTTTCAGCGTTGCTGCAAACCAGGATTCATCACAGCAGGCACTGCCTGACAAGGTCAGAGCCCTGGTTTCAGATCATGTGCTTAATTTGGTGAACTGTTAAAGGAAACAGTCCCATCCCTGTGCCGTGGGTTCAAGCCGAAGGAGCAGAGGGGAAGTCAAGCCTTTCTCACTGGAACTCTGCTGAGCACTTGCTCCTTGGAGACATGTAACATCCAAACAGCTGAAGCACAGCTGCAGTACCCCGTGATTGCTGCTGCAAAGCGTACCAACACTTCTGAAAGGCCAGCAAGTCATGTTCAGTAACTTTCCCCCATTTTCACTGCACTGAAGTATGCTGAAGCCTCATTTGAAGATTTCTAAATAGAAGCTACAGTGACTTGGTGGCTTTAAAGCATTGTGAAGTTGCTTACAGAACAGTTAGGAATAAACAGTGAATAAACAGCATACTCTGTACACATTTTGAAGTTTTTCATGATTTCTCTGATATGTGATTAATATCAGGGGATGACTAACCAGAGTCAGAGTGTATCTGACAAGGCTTTTCTTGATGACCTTAGTTGGTGACTTCAGCCTCCGTCACAGGGAGACTGTACCATCTGTTAACTTTTCAACACCATGCGATCTCCAAGCATTTGTTGCAAATGGCAAACCAAGGAATATCAGGTAATAGGAAGTACTTTGCTCTGTGGGAGCATGCTCACTGAGAGAAGCTGATGAAGGTGCAGCCACAGTGGCTCAGGTGACAATTTCTGGCTTGTCTCCATGATACTTTCCCCTCTGTGGAAGAGGAGCAGGCACTCTCCCTCCCCCATTTTCTCTAAGTGACAAATTTAGGTCACTCTCTACTGAGGTTGTCTGTTAGCACCCCATGCAGCAGCAGAAGGATCTGTATCTGGGACCTTGCAGCATGGAGCAATGCTGGGTATTTGTGCTTGCAAGAGCAGGTACCTTGAGGCAGTGTCAGCATTTCAGGACATCTCTGCATGGCAGCAGGTGATGTACATGGGCATTCCTGCACCACGCAGTGAGCTAGTTGACTTGGTTATTGAAGTCAGAATGAGAGTGCTCTCAGTTGTTAGGTACCCAGAGATATACAGCTGCATATTCACTATGTCCTGTGCCCATGTTGGCTAAAAGGCAACTAAAGCTGTTCTGAGAACATGCAGACACTGTGTCAGTGCTTCCCAATTGCCTCCCTCCATGCATCTCAACACTTGCTCTTTTCCTGGTGTGATGAAACATATTAGACTCTTACATTGCATGTAGAATAGAGGGATGTACTCTGCTTCCCACTGCAGGGAAGAAGAAAATATGAAATACCCGTACCAATGCTGTCCCCATTACGACAAGGTGTGGAGGTGGAAAGGGGATAGGTTCTCTTCTTAGAAGATGAAGGGTAAAGTCAAGAGTAAAGGAGTCATAAGCAGATGAAGAGGTGGCTGTAACCTTGTATTCCTTCCCAGAACCTTTAGGTCAGATGTCCCTGCTGAAGAAATCATCACTGGCTCAAATTCAACATGAAAAATGGGGGTGGGGGAAAGTCGTCGTCCCCCCCTTTTTATCACAGTTGGCTTCCCACCCAGGAAAATGTGGTTCTTCATCTAACCCATCACAGGTCTTGCATCAGCAGGCAGAGTTTTCATTTGAGTCACCTTGATGCCATATCTTCCTGGTGAGGAGACCATTTTGATACTGGCCAGTTCATTTCATTACTTCCAAGCAGGCTCCCAGGGGGCAGCATGAAATATTGCAGCCTAGAGGAGGTGCTCACTAGAAGCTGCAAGAGGTGAGCTGGTATTGCATTTGTTTTGAAGATTTTAGTCTTGGGTGAAGTCTAAGTTACAGTTATATTTATGCTACACTAGGCTCCAGAAAACTGGTCTTCCTTCTGCAAGCAAGGTGAGTGGGACCGTGCATGACTTTTAAACACAAAACACTGATTTTGTTTACAAGATCAGTGACATAATCAGCTGGAGGTCTGTGCTCATCTCAAAAGGAGATATTTTTGTTGTTGTTGAATATGAGTTAAGAAAAAAAATACGGTATTTAAAAGGGCATGCCACAGCTCTCCTTTAGAATACCCAATAAACAGCATTTATAAAAAAGACTCATTGGAAAGCACCTTAAGAAACCAATGGTGTGAAGCAGTTGAATCCATATAGATACTGTCACCTGAATTTCTATTCTGAAAACAAAAAACAAAACAAAAAAACAAAACACAAAAAACTATTGCATACTTACATAAGATTAAATATGAAAACATATGTTTGCTTAGCCCTAGTTGGCCTTCTCTAGCAACATGGGGTGGCTTTAAAATGATTAAGATTTTTTTTAAAAAAAGAATGTGTTGTGCATCAAATACCAAACTTAATACTGTACACAGTGAATCTGTAAACTGTGACTAAAGGCAAAACATTTTTAAAATGCCTCTGATAATGAAAAGATTTATTGTAAAATATGCCTCAAATGGCCTGAACAAAATGTTCATTGTGTGTGCACAAAATGGCTTTATTCAGCAGTCATTCTAGGATTTATCCCTTGGTGGGGTTCAGATGCGGGAGGAGCAAAGGATTTGACAGCAGGGGATCTGGAATCCGTAACAAACACCTTTTTAATTCAGGGTAATAACGGTGATGTGATTTGGTATGGGAGAGCTGAATTTGATTATTTTTTCTGAGTACCTGGAGCTACCACCGCATGTGCTGATATTCTCATAAAAATGTCTTTAGTGTGCAAGATGCTGAGGTCAGATACTGTACACCACAAAAGTGTGAGGCAGGTTCCAGCTCTAGGTTCAAGAGCTTCTTTTTTTTTTTTTTTTTTTTGTCAAGCAACCACACAGTACAGGGTGTTGTCTTCTCTCTTTCTATCAATGATTATATCCTACTGTGTTTCCTCATTCCTTGCTAACTTGTACATGCTCAGTGCTCCTGTGAGATCAGCCTTGTGAGCACCCAGAAAAGCACCCAAATTCACTAGCTGCTTTTGGAAGCTTGCAAGCATGAATCTTTTATTCCTAATTCTCCAGCATGAAAGTCTCTCTCACTTTTGCTCATTCGTGCTCTGTAAAACATCTCAAAACAAAGGACTGTAAAATTTTCACGTGGAGAGGCAAACAAGATAGAGGATGCTTTTTTGCACACTTGCTTGAAAACTATCACATGAGAAAATACATGTTTCTGAGCAATGTATTGAAGCTTCTTTCCTTTTCAGCTTTCTTCTCACACAGCCTTTTTCTGAAGCTGTCCAATATCTCTCTCTGATGACTTCAAACCTTTCTTCTCTTTTATTGTCATTGCTTCATTTTATGGAACATTTCATGGTACAACTGGAAGGAGAGGAACTTCAAAAAGTAGAAAGTGGATTATACATAAAAGTAGCTCTAAAAAACGGGCTCTGAAGCAGCAGGTTCTGTCTCCTTTCTCCAGAGAAAAAACTTCACCAGATGCTTTAACAATGTTCCAGTCCAACAGAAAACTTTTTTTTTGTTGTTTGTTTATTTATCCATTTTAGACACTATAATAGGGCACTCAGGATTGCTACAACCTGCATTGTTGGGCAGGTAAAAACTTGACTTGATCCAGAAACAACTTCTTCTCCTCGTGGATTGATCTGGAATGGTACTTCTTTTTGTAGCCTTGTCTCCCCTACCAGTCCTGTACCCATGCTGGAAGACAGGAATTAGTACCTCTTCTCTGTTGGCAACTGGGCTGGTGATCACAGCTGGGCAAACACCATGACCACACCATTGTTCTGAATGACAAATTTTGGTGTACCTATATGCCGAGAAAAATTACCCATGGTGGCAAGTAAAACGTGTCAAGGCTGTGCTCAGTGGTTGTGTCACCAAAACGCTGTACAGATCCCTGCTTGCTGTAAAATGCAGTGGAGTTTAGACCTAAACTAACAGGCACTGGCTATGGATCCAGCCAACTGCTTCCCACCTAAATATTTTATCAATCACTTGCTAATACATAAAGTTACAGATACTAGGGAGCACACTTCCATTTCTGTGTTTTTAAAGTGCTGTTGGTACATTTCTATGTGACCAAAAAGGCAGCTCAAGTAGAACAAAAAGAAATCTTTGAACACAGTGTAGAGCACAGGGGCTTGAGACATTGTTACTTGAGGGTCACTCTACTTGAGTTTGCCATGTAAAGGAGGTAGCAGTTGGATAATAACAAAATACAGTCTGCTAGTTTTTGTCCATGTATTTATACATGTACCCATGTATTTAAGGTTGGTCGTTAGCCTTCTCCATCTCATTGAAAACTGCATTTCTGTGGAACTGAAAAACTTATAAGACTATCTTAAGTAGTAACACTTTTCTAAAGGAAGATGCAGATGGTCTTGTCACCACCCACTCTATTATATTTCTACAGATCCCACCAGCTAGGTGTCATTTGAAAATAACCAGGGTAAGACAATGGTTAACAGCCAAATTTATGTTCTAGAGATCCTTGCTTCATTGTTTAGCCTAAGAGACACCTGAAGACTCCTGATGCACAAATTTGCATTTCTGTAGCTCTTTGCTTACATTACCAGAACAATCTGTATCATAAAACACAGTGGAGATCCAAATGTGTCAGATATGCCTGAGACCTGCTGTAATAAGCTAGCCATTTCTGTGCCACTTTGATGCAGTAGAAATTATCACGGCATTGTTACTAAAATACAAATTTCACACACACACACACACAAAGTCTCTATGATGTGATAGGGTTAGACTTAAGAACATTCTGTTCATAAACCTGACTTTAGAAACCCTCCTTACTTTCTTCAAGAGGTTTCACCACATCTTCCACTTCTGGATGAGTACTCTGACCACTGAGAGGTGACATACTCACCACTGGTTGTCTCTCAGTTCTTAGGTTCAGGAACAGTGGAGCCAACAACTCAGGTACTGAAAGGAAGGATAATATCAAAAAGTGGTAGGGTTTAGGTCCTTGTCCTATCTTAACAAAGTGGAGCAGCTTCAACAGGAGAGACTTAAACATCTCAAACTATTTCACTTGCTACGCCTGGTTCTGTTTTGTGAAGAAAGAAAGAAAAAAAAAAGTTGCATTTTTTGCATGTTCTAAGTTTCTTTATATTCTTAGAGCTACAGCTATGATTTTTAAGCTGAAACAATGAGACATTTGATAAGAAGAAGACACTGGTGTCATATAGGAGGAATACGAATAGTCTGAGGCTCAGCATGGAGCAGCCTGGGCTGAAACAGCTTGTCAGATATCACTACAGCCTAAATAATTCTCTTCCAGGAAATAAAATTCAATGCAATTTAGGAAAATAGGAAGGAACATAAAATTACCTGGGTTAAACCTGAGTTGGGGATCAGTGGGAATTTTGAAGAATAAATGCTTAAAGTTACAGGAACTCACAATGCAAGAAATAAGAGGAATTTCTGGTACAGCAAATAAAGAGGCACTGATAAAGAAATAGAGACTTTTTCAGATCGTTAAAAGCTAGAGGATCCATGGAAAAAGTACAGAGTGTGTACACTTCCTGGTTTCATTTTGCAATGGGTTTTGCTGGATAATGGTTAGGCAGATGCTCAATGCTTGCTCTGTCTTCAAGCAGTAGAGATGTGATCAGCAGTTACTATGAAATAAACAAGCACTAGTAATTTAATTGTAAGTGTCAGATAAGAAAACAGAAGAGATGGCTAAGAGATAGGATTGATTTCTGATTTGGCTATTCTGTAATATTTATCAATTTGGTCAAGTTGAAATAACTCCATTAGTTGCATGCATTTGTTCTTATTTCAGAGGAGCTGTTGGAAGGAATATTTTGTAAGGATCTTTGGTTCCTCAAAAGTGCCATATTGAAAGACGTGATTCTGGTCAGAGACAAAAGAGTCCAGTCTTGTGACACTGTTTCTATAGATTTCCTTTGCTCAGGATGAAATTACAATCTACTGTGTTTTTCTGGTCTACAGAGAAGTCCCAAATATCACTAGAGAAGTAACCAAAACATGATAAGTTTCTGAACAGGTTCATGCACTGAGCTGATGTATGAGTACTACCTTTAGTTTCATACCATTGCTGGGTCACAGGATTCAAGTGAGATGGAGTACCAGATGCAAGACATGAATAGTCCCAAGTGCAAAAAACTTTTTTTTTAATATACTTTAAGGGGCAAAATGGTGACAATTGTTGTATTTTACAGGCATTTAAGATAGCATGTCTTTCCTCTCACAGGATATTAGTTGCAACGTTATCTGAATTCAGTTCTGACTTTCATGCATGCTGGTATAGTCATACTTTGCCTGTGGATCAAAATGAGTAAGATTTGCACATGAAAAGACAAGAAGCTGATATTAAGATTAACATAAAAATTAAGTAAACCAATATATAAACAAATCAATAATTTCAATGAAAATATATCTAATAGCAACCCAACAATAGTAAAAGACTTGTTTTCAGAGTGTTTGTAGGGGAAATTTCTGTCAATGGTTTACTGTTGTGAATTTGATGGGCTGATGAGCAGTGACTATTTATTCCTTTTTGCTTTCATTTATAAGATTTTGCTCATTTATAAGAACTACTGTGCTGGGTGGACATGGTTTCAGGAGCAGCTACATATGCTCAGGGGGATACCATCCTGGGAACTGAGAGATGCCTTGATACCTGGATAGACCCAGAGGAAAGAGCAGGGACATTGCAACAGAGACTGCTGAAAAAGGCAGGGGATAGCCAACAAGTCAAAAATGGTAGCCTCAATGGTGATGGATGAAGAAATTTCTGAGAGACCAGGGAGTATGGGCAGAATTTGCTTCATCCCTTGACTGAAGTCAAGCCTGGAAACAGGGAAACCTGTACCAGGATTAGTTATAAAAACTTTTTTTTTTTTTTTTAGTTGTAAAACAAAACTGACTCTGTGAGTTTGAAAGCTTTTTGAAGCCTTTTGGATTTCTTTGGAGAGTTCATTATGAGAAAAATGTCTCAACCAGTCCTTCTCAAAGTTCTGGTGAGCCTGAGGTCCCATCACAGGAAGGGCACCTGAGGCTGGCAATATTTCAGAACTCTTCCAATGAGCCTGGCATGTTATTGCTCTGGAATCTTTGCTTCCTGTGCTTATGAAGGAAAAATCAAAGTCATTTCTCCAGGAAACACTCCAGAGAGGAGAAGGCTTCATGAGGTAGAAGACCTAACAGGGTGCCAACCATCTGGAAAAGCACATCTATTTGGAATTCATGTAGATAGGTTTTTCATAGAGTTAGACAAAGAAGCAGGACTGGGCGTTACTTCCTTGACTCTTGGCTCTCTTCCCCCTTGATCCAAATTCTCTACAGAAATGTGAAAGACATTTGAAATAAGTTAAATTCTTTTTCTTCACCTGATTTTGACTGAATCTTGATCCAGGTTTCCCCTTCTCAGCAGGATGTCAGGTATTTGTTGAGATGTCTTTCTTAAGTATCTCCTGCTGAACATGCTCTGCTCTGCCTCAGCTGTGGAGAATCTTGTGCCTCTCATGATCACGACTTGTGATTCTATCCCTGCTTCTGATCATGTGTCACATTTGTGCTTCTCCAGGGAAGGAGTGAAGAAATGAAAAACATTATTTGGTCTCTCTACTTTTCTCCTCCCTTAACACTATTGTGAACAGTGTTAGCTTTTCAACAATAAAGACTAGCATTTTGACTTAAGCTGTGGTTTTATTATCTAGTACAAACACCCACAGTTTGCATGTCTCCTTTAGCACTGGCGTGGGCATAAAGATACAAATTTCTCCCTTCTTCAGTGCCACAGTGACAGCTGTCATGATCGTGAATGGGCATTCTTGAAATATTCCTGAATATGTGCGATAAAATATGTCTACCACAAGAGTTAACTTTCGTTCCTAGTGCACATGTTGCTTCTGAGTCTTCTGGGAATTTCCAACACACAACGTACACAACCTATTTTCACAAGTTAACTAAAATGAAATTTTATTTCTTTTTCATTTCACTAAAATGAAAATGGATTTCCAGGCGTTTCAGGCATGAAAATGAATTTTCATTTTAGTTAACTAGAAATTTCATTTGGAAATTTGGAATTTCCAATTTGGAAACATAGGAACTAAAGCTTTGTGGCTGACAAACTATTAGAAAGGAGGAAATATTTTACACCTACCAACAATGATAATTCTAAACCCAGAAGTCTTTCACAATCAGTAGTTTCTCTAAATGACTTGAGTACAGCTGCAGAATTTAGTAGAAAGAGAACCAGGAGTTCACAAATATTGTAAACCTTGAGTGTTAGTCTGTGAAGCTCAGTGAGAGGGCTGCTCTGAGAACACTCTGTGAGTTACTTACTCCTTTTGTTAAGTCTTCTTCTGTGAGAACAACAGAAGAAACATTTCCAGTTTGTTTGCTTTCTGGGTATGTCTACTGTTGTATTTCCCTTTCATTTTCAAGACTTAAGAATGATATATTGCTTCTAGCGATCTTTGCAAAATCATTTGTGCTGGCTAAATAAATAAATATAAAATTGCATTGTAGATGTATATATTTATCATGCATTTTCTTGCACACCAAGCATATAAAAGGAAGTTGCAGGGGTGCATTGATTTTGACTGATTTGCAGTTTAAAATGTTAAGTTGGAAAATTAATAGCCTATTTTAATTATCAAGATCTTAACGAAGCCGTGCTGACTCTGCACTGCCAACACCCAGATGACTGCTCTCTTTCATGCTTCAGCTATTCCTGTCTCTTCCTGATCTGTGCCCCTCTCATATGCCATCATCGTGGGACAAACCTGCAGTGCTGCCACTCCTTCCTCATCAAGTTCTTTATGTAAACGCTCTTCCTGAGCACAAGGCATTGAGCACGATGTCCATTCTGCTCTTGGCACACAAATGAAAAAATGTCCTTACTTACCAAGTGAACCACTTGTCTCCTAGCCATCAGGCTGTCAGTCCTGGTGGTGTGTTTGCAATACAAAGGTCGTGTGTGTCTGGCCTCCTAGACTGAAGGCTGGTCCTGGGAGGCACAGATGGCAAGGGCAGGGAGGCTGCTCTCTCTGATGATCATATTCTCTAAAGTAACATGCCAATCAGCCCAAGTCCTCTGCCATTTTAGCAAAACTGCCCTTAGAAGTGCCCTTAAAACTGTCACCTGCTGCCATTAAAGCTGCCACTTGCTGTCTGTCCCTTGGGTTATCGAACAGAATGTTGTCCTCACCTCCTGCCCCCTGAGGCCAAGCTCTCTGAGCTCCAGGCTGCTGCTGCCCTTCTCTTTGGCAATCCCCAGCACACTGAATGCTATTCCAGAACAGTAGAGTTAGAGTATTTCTAGTTCTAATCTCTCCCACACATTAGCTCTGGCTGTTTCATCTTGTTCCCACTGTCCTTGCTGCAAGGCTGCTGCTGACAGAGCTGCAGCCAGAGTACAGCCTTGAAAGGCTGTAAGGTGCTTCCTGGAAGCTGGTGGCCATACCGCTTCACATTAGTATTGACATAGATCACATAAATAGGTGTGAAAACCACATTACAGTGCTGTGCCACCATGCAGACATGATTTTACATGGTGCCAAGTGATGAATCATTTGCAGTCTGGATGATAAGCACTTTCATTTCTGGTGTCGCTGCTCTGGAGCAGTCTCCAAGGAAGAGTCCATGACATAACTTGTCTCCCTCAAAGTAAATAGGCAGCAAAAGTAATTTCCCGGAAGAAATAGCTCTGTTTGGGCATGAGATATAGGCACACCTCTGTCACCAGATATGCACTATATATATTCATACAGTACCCTTGTGGGGGTGGCAGCATATGAAACATGGAGGTGGATTTGGTTGTGTAAGCTGTGTCCCCTTAGGGCAGTTAAAATGCATCCATAGTAACGTGTTCTGCTAACAGTCTCATTGTAAATGTGTACAAGCTGTCCCTATTCACTCCTTTTGGTCAGTATATTCTGCTTCAGGTC